TTTTGTCACAGGGCTGCGAATTGCGGATGGTATTAAAAGGCCACTTAAATTATTTTGTGACAATAAGTCAGCAGTATTGTATTCTAACAACAACAGGAGTTCGACAAAGTCGAAACATATAGACATCAAGTTCCTAGTTGTTAAAGAAAGAGTTCATAGTGGACTTGTGTCTATAGAGTATATTGGGACAAACTCCATGATTAGGGATCCACTGACTAAGGGATTACCATCCAAGGTCTTTCATGAGCACACTGCTCATATGAGTGTTCTATCTCTTCAGGATATGTCATTTTAGTGGGAGTTTGTATTTTAGATGCTTTTATTTATAGACACATTTGTTATGATTTTATGGATATTATATGGTTATTTAGTGCAGTATAAAATATTTAGTTTATATTCACTCTAATTTTTGGTATGGTTTGATCTCACTAAGATTTTAAGGTGAGCCAGTTGGAAATAGACATGTTAAGATCACACTACATGAAATTTTCATGTTACACATCCATGCTTGATCTGTGTTGCTGGTTGTATTGATATATGTGACCATTGATGGGTCTAGTTGCGACAAATATAATGAAGATCGCTTTGATTCGATGTTGGTATAACTGATAGACAAGATTGTTAGGATTGCATTTTGTTTGATAGCAAAATTCATGAGCTCATAAGGTTATATCATAATTCATATCTATATAGTAACATGTATGGCTCAAGTAGGAGATTGTTGGGTTTAAATCCAATATATGAGCCAATATATTAAAGAGATATGTATTATGTGCTATCAATCAAGGTTAGCCCATTGAAGTGATCTGATTATAGTTTGGGCTTTTAATGCATAATTAAAGTATGTGTCTCCTATGTGTAGAGACTAAAATATAATTGTTAATTTTATGATGGGCTGAATTGATAATTATGAATAACTGATAACAGTTATAAATGAGGTTGTGATTCCCTAAATCTCTATGTAGAATCTCTTTTTGATTTTCCATCTTCAGATGGATTAGGGTACGGTTTCTCTAAGAAGGATATATACATTGAAGATTTGGAAGATCTACATCTCAAAACTCAAGAATCACATCTTACTCCATGGATTCAGGTATAGTTCCGCATCTTCTTAATTATTTTAATAGTTTAACATGAACAATCTTGGGATTGATTAGGGTTTTATCTATTAAAGTAAAAAAATTTCTTTTGATCTAACAATAGCACCTGACTGTCATAGAGTTCAGTTTCTTTTCATGTGGCCTATAAGGCCTAGCCTCAGCGGGAGATCCCAAATATGCAAATGCTTTAGACTAGGATTTTTGCCCGTCCAAAGCTTACAAGGATTTTGGCAGTTGCTTTCGTGGGTACTCTATTGAGTATGTAAGCTGCAGTTTTTAATGCTTCTTCCCAAAGAAATTCTGGTAAGTTGGAATGACTAATCATATTTTTTACCATGTCCTTAAGTGTTTTGTTTCGTCTTTCAGCAACACCATTCATGGTAGGAGAACCAAGCATGGTGTACTGTGAGACGATACCGCACTCCTATAGGAATTTAGCAAATGATCCCAGACGTTATTCACCTAAACCGTCATACCTGCTGTAATACTTTAATGCTTCTCCCCAGAGAGATTCGTCACAAATTAAAATTGATTCTCAATAGATTAACATGAACACCATTCTGATACCAATTGTTAGATAAAAAAAACTTTTACTTTAATAGATAAAACCCTAAACAATCTCAAGATTGTTCATATCAAACTATTAAAATAATTAAGAAGATGCGACCATATATACCTGAATCCATGGAGTAGGACGCGATTCTTGAGTTTTGAGAGATGTAGATAATCCAAATCTTCTATGTATTTATCCTCCTTAGAGGAACCCTAATCCTTCTGAAGATGGAAAATCAGAAAGAGATTCTACATAGAGATTTGGGGAATCACAACCCTATTTATAACTGTTATCAGTTATTCATAAATACCAATTCAGCCCATCATAGAATTAACAATTATATTTTGATCTCTACACATATGAGGCTCATACTTTAAATATGCATTAAAAACCTAAACCCTAATCAGATCATTTTAATAGACTAACATTGATTGATAGCACATAATACATATTTATTAATATATTAGCCCGTATATTGGATTTAAACCCAACACTCATGTCATAATTATTAACTAGGATCCTCACCCGCCATCACGTCTCTTCGCTTTCCCTTCCACATAATTTGGTCCTTTTCCGTTTTCCCATCGTCGCACTAGCGTGGGGGTAATCTAAAGAATAGTTAGATGGTCCGCTTATTGTATTACAACCAAAGAGTAACAAAGCACAGTAGCACAAAATTTTCTTTGCGGGTCTTGGTCATGGCTACAAATCCCCGCAACGTCCTCTACGGCATCAAACCGAACGCGCAGATGCAGGCGGCAACCAACTCTGCTGCAG